GACAGGAAGATGGTCAGTCTCTGCAACCCTGTAGGGGAAAAAGAAAACAAACAAAAACAAAAACAAAAACTTCTTTAACCGTGATTCTCTCTTCAACACTAACTTTTTCTGCCTGCTTTCACCTTTTCTACTTGCTTTTATCTTAACCAGAAAAAAAAAATTCACTGGACTCATGATAAACAGAACATTTAACTTATAGCCAAGAAAGAGAAATACTTCTCTTCTAGATCTAAGATTCATTATACGACTTATTCCTAAACGCTCCTGTCCGCTTATCTCACAAAGTTGCTGCAAGGACCAAATGCAATTACATAACAGAACTCTTTTGCCCACTCTCCAAGGTATCCAGCCCATGGGCAAGGCCAGTCAGTGTCTTACATAAAGAGAAGTCAAAGGAAGAATGTTTCAAACAAAGAATGAAAAAAATATCCATGGGTTCCCATACCGGCTTTAAAGCCCTAGAGTAGAGGCTAGCTTGAGAGACTGCAAGGCATTTCCCAGTGACAATAATCTCATCATTGCTCTAAAAAGGTCAGGTTATTTTTTGTTAAAAAGCTACTTTTTGGAGAGACTGACATCACCAAGATGGCAACATAGATTGTTCCTGACATTGCTCCCTTCCCAACAACTGTTCCTGTACAAGACACCAGAGAGAAAACCCAAGAGGAGACAAAATTGACTTTAAACTAAAAATGGTAAAAAGAGAAAAAAAAAGTCCACTATAAAATTATAAAGGGATCAATCCATCCCAAAGATTTAACAAATGCAAACATCTACGCACCCTACAAAAGACCTAAACATATAGAGAGCAAAAACTGACAGAGCTGAAAGGGAAAGGAAACAGCAATACAGTAATACTTGGGGATTTTAATACTGCACTCTTAACAATGGATAGATCATTCAGACAGAATCAATAAGGTTAACAGCAGGCTTGAACAATATTATAAACCAAATGGACCTAACAAACATATACAGAACATCTTATCAGTCAATAGCAGAGTACACATTCTTCCTAAGTGCACAGAGAACATTTTCATGCGTTAGACAACCAAAAAACCTCAAGTCTTAGCAAATTAAAGAAGACTAAAATCATACCAATTATCTTCTCTGACCATAATGGTAAAACTAGAAATGATAAAACATAAACTAGAAGTAACAGAAGAAATACTGGGAAACTCATATATAAATGGAAATTAAACAACACCCTCCTAAACAATTGATGGGTCAAAGGGGAAATAAAGTATTTCGAGACAAATGAAAATGGAGACATCACAGATACACAGACCAATAGAACATAATCAAGAGCCCAGAAATAAACCCACGCATATACGTCAACTGGTATTTGACAAGAAAGCCAAGCACACCCAGTAGGGGAGAGTTCTCTTCAGTAAATGGAGCTGGGAAAATTGGAGATCTACATGTGAGAGAATAAACTAGACCGCTATCTTACACTATTCAAAAAGAATTAAGGACTTAAATGTAAGGCAAGAAACCTTGAAACTCCTAGAAGAAAATATAGGAAAAAAGCTTCCTGACATGGGCTTTGGCGATGATTTTTTGGATAGGACACCTAAAGCACAAGCCACAAAATTAAAAATACGTAAATGGAATTATATCCAACTAAAACACTTCTGCACAGCATAGGAGATGATCAACAAAATTAAAAGACAACCTACATAATAGGAAAAAATATTTGCAAATTCTGTATCTGTTAATATCCAAAATATATAAATAATCCATTCAACTCAAGAGGAAAAAAAAATACAATTACAAAATGGGCAAAGAACCTGAATAGACATTTTTCTGAAGAAGTTACAGAAATGGCCAACAAATGAAAAATGCTCAACATCACTACCCAGTAGAGAAATACAAATCAAAACCACAATATCATCTCACACCTGTTAGAATAGCTATCCCCAAAAAGGTAAGAGATAACAAACACTGGTAAGGATACAGAGGAAAGGAACCATTGTGCACCGCTGGTGGGAATATAAATGGGTACAGCTACTATGGAAAACAGTATGGAGGTTCCTCAGAAAATTAAAAATAGAACTACCATATATCCATCAATTCTCCTTCCAGGAATATATCCAAAGAAAATGAAAACACTATGTTGAAGAGCTATCTGCATCCCCTTGTTCACAGCAGCATTACTTACAAGAGCCAAGACTTGAAAGTAACCTAAGTGTCCGCTGATAGATAAATGGATAGAGAAGACCTGACACACACCACACACACACACACACACACGGCAATACTACTATATTGGAAGTACTCAGCCATAAAAAAGAAGAACCTTGCCATTTGTGACAACATGGGTGGATCTTGAGGGCATTATGCTAGGTGAAATTAGAGAAAACAGAAACACTCTATAATCTCATTTACTTGTGAAATCTAAAAAACAGAACCAAACCAAACTCATAGGGAAGCAGATCAGATCTGAGGTTGCCAGGGGCGGGCATGGGGATGGGAAATGGATGAGATGGTCAAAAGGTACAAACTTCCAGTGATAAGATCACTAAGTCCTGAGCATGTAAGGTACAACATCACGGCTCTGGTTAACACTGCTCTATGCTATATTTGAAAGTTAAGAGTAAATCCTGAGTTCTCATCACAAAGAGAAAACTTTTTTTTATCGATATGAAATGATGGATGTTGAATTACTGCGGTAATCTTTTCACAATATACGAGTCAAATCACGATGCTGTATACTTGAAAATTACACACTGCTGTATGTCAATTATATCTCACTAAAACTTGGTAATAATGAACTGTGGATAAAACATTAGTCAGGGTACCAAGCAACCAAAAAGTGTATGAGAACACGCAAAAAACCCACTTTAATGACAAAGAAAAAAAAATACCCCAAGATTTTATATTATGCTTGAATTCAAATATACATTATTTTCTGGATTGCAAAGTATACCCATTTCATTTTGAAAATAAGTATTTAATATTTTCTGATTACAAAAGTACACATGATCACGACAGAAAATTTAGAGAAAAAGTATTTAAAATTAAAAACAATTGGTGAAGGGGATTAAGAGTACATCCAGATGAGCACCGAGTAATGTACAGAATTGTTGAATCACTACATTGTAACACTTTAAACTAATACAACACTCTATGTTAACCATACCGGAATTAAAATTAAAAAATTAATAATTAAAAAATAATAAAAATTAGAAAATTAAAAAAGAAAACAATCTTAACCCAACCTCAGAGAGATAATTTATCAGCCAAAAAATCCTGGTCCATTTAATTTTTCTGCATATACATATTATAAACATCATTTCCTTTTTACACTGCTAGGACCATATAGTTCTTTAAATTTTACTTTCTTACTTGAGGATAGCATTATCTCCCTTTGCTCTTAGATACTGTTCTGTAAGTTTTAACGTCTTCATAAAAGTTTGTCATGGGAACACACTACTGTTAGTAGTGTGTAAAAAGCAGTAAGGGTAATTTTCATTTTTTTTTAAGATTTTATTTATTTATTTGACAGAGAGATCACAAGTAGGCAGAGAGGCAGGCAGAGAGAGGGGGAAGCAGACTCCCCACTGAGCAGAGAGCCCGATGCGGGGCTCCATCCCAGGACCCTGAGATCATGACCTGAGCCGAAGGCAGAGGCTTAACCCACTGAGCCACCCAGGCGCCCCAGTAAGGGTAATTTTCAAATATAGCTCTTTGTGTGCATCTCTGATAATGTCCTCAGGATAAATTCCTAGAAATAAAACTTCTGGGACGGAGTATACAATTTTAAGGTTTTGTTACATATGTCAAATTGCTACCACCTTCCTGGAGAGAAATTTATATTCCCAATAGCAGCATATAAGAACGGTTATCTCATGTTCCTCCCCACCACTAACTACACCTTAAAAAAAATATTTGCACATATCTCATTGTTACACATTTATTTTTAGTCTGATTTGTATTTTTTTTTTGATTACTGGTGAGTTTGGATGTTTTTCCATGTTTCTTAGAGATATTTCCTCTGCAAATTTACGTGTATTGCCCATATTTCTATCGAGAGGGTTCATGTTTTAAAGAAATGATTCCTAGGAGTTATCATGATATTTTTACTAATGCTTTGTTGCTCGCTCAGTTTTAGACAAGATCTTTCCAATCAACAACAGCAGAGGCATTGATCCTCCTGCAATTTTATGAGCTAAAAAAAACAATTGAAAAAATTCAGGCTGAGGGAAAGACTGCCCCTAGAAAACTTAAGTCGACCCTAGCCCCAAACAGGAGATGTCACCAGGGAATCCCTTAGCCCACAGGAATGGTGTACCAGGAAGTTTTCCAGAAACAGTCAGCGTAGATCCTGATCTTGATCAGTGGTCTCTCTGATTCAAATGCAAAATCCATCTACCACGTAAATCCAGCTTTTTTTTTTTCTGGTTGTGTTTTGATTCTGTTTTTTTCCATGTCTCAGGGGATCCTGGTTCTTGGGGGTTCCACTGTGAAACAGAAGGGAGGGGAGACGGGGTAGACACGCCACAATCTGAGAGGGTTACGTCTTCACACTCCTTTTGTTTCGAGGCGCTGGGTGTTGGCAGCCCTCTTAGCGCAAGGATGCTGCTTGGGTTTATTTTCACTCACATCCATATTACTGTTGGTAAGAACAAAGCTGCCTATCACAGATGCTACACAATTGCTTGTTTAATGACTCTGCAGCTGCAGTTTCTTCCCTGGGAGTGGGGCTGGGTGTGCACGTTCACACAACCCCGTTGGCATCACCAGAGTCACGCGGGAGGGTGCTCTGCTCTGAGCAGATCTGCTGCAGTGACAAGAAACATCCTTGAGTTTTTCTCTCTCCGTTTCACAACTTTTGTCTACCAGCCGCTGGCAGAAGTCACCATTTCTTCAGCTAAGAAGTGCTGCTTTCCAAAATCCTTTGGCAGAGTCTCCCAGAGATTTGTTTTTCTGCTCCTTCCTAATTTAGAAACAGTCTTCAAAGGGGGGGGGGGAATCCAACCTGACAAATGAATGTGAGAAGAAACCAACTCTGATGTAATTTTGAATTTCTTTCCCAGAATGTTCTAGAGTTTACCATCTACAGCCAATACAGTTCAGATGGGATCGTTTAGGGGGGAAGAAAATAAACGAGGATGTGCACACCCTAAGATCAGGCCGTGCTTTATTCAAGAGGCAACATGTAATACAAATTTAAGATTTTATTAAAAATTATTTGTTATTTAACATAATATCTCGATGGTTACAGAAAGCTTTTAACAGAGCAAAATAATGACTTGTGTGAATAAACAGAAGAGTGAATGGTGTTAACTGTGACATTTAAGCGATCACATGGTTTTAATTATTCTTTTGATAATACGCAACTTTGTGAACGTCTATTCAAGGGACTGAACTCTGTGCCTACTATGGAATTTGCAGTTGAATTAGAGCTTTGTTTCCTGCCTTTGGCATTTTTAAGCAAACAAATGGAAATGGTTTTAAGAATTTATAAAAAATCTACCACCTACCAAAAGCATTTAAAAAGTAAAGTGATGAGTGCTAGAAAGAGGGAAAAACAACAACAACACACACACACACACACACACACACACACACGGTATTTATTTGTGGAATACAGTAACAGAGAATAGAAGTCATAATGAGAGAAGCAACCAGAAGTTCAGCCCATGCCAACCCTTTATTTGTTCTTGGCTGTCAGGGGTTTCCGGCTGATCTTTTTCGATTTGTCATTATTTTTCTTCGGTGGTTCTGGGTTTGCTTGCATGTGTCTGCCGTAGAGGCTGAAAAGAGAGAGGGAGAAATGGTGAGATCCACCTTGCTAACACAGGACCAGCTTTTACTGGGAGGGCTTTAGAGAACAGATTAATCTCCAGGAATGTTCAGGAAGCCAAAGAAAACTAAAAGATCACTTCTGCTTGGTCCAGGTCATTTTATTTCAGAATGTAAAATTCTCTTACGCACAAGCGTGCGCACACACAGAGCACACTATGAGGTCAGTTCTGGACAAGTGTCCTGCAATTTCACACTCACTGGGCTGAGGGTGGAAACACCAAAGGAAGAGGGACCCGGGGCTGTGAGAACCGGTGCTGCTGAGCCCAGCTGCTCCGGACTGAAGCTCCAACGGCTGTGAGTGTTGAAGCCGACAGTGACAAAAACTGGGTCGAACTGAGGAGACAGAGTGTCCATTTAGTGAAAAGTGAACATCGTGCCTGGCTGGCAGAGCCCTGGGGCTGGATAATGTGACAGAGAGCAATGGTGTCCGAGCCTGCTTTGGCTGCTCACTCGTGATTGATAGCGCTGGGACGGCGGCCACACATCAATGCCATGTTAATAAGGACCGTTGATTAAATGTTGACAAAGTACCCTACAATTACAGTGGATGGCATTCGTCGCAGAGCGTAGCTCGCTTGTGGCTGAGAGGATTGAACCCAACAGCAGATAGTAATTAACTGATAATTTATGAGTAATTCTGATTAAAGAAAATTAAAAGCCACCCTCAAATAAATACAGTTCAACCTTAACTCCCCTTATGGATAGAAGTGTGTCCCAGAGAGAGCCCGGGGCGTGCCTCCGCTCCTCCAGAGGACGGGTGGCGCGTGATCTGCTTATGGCCACTGCCTTGTGCTGTGTAAATGGGGGAGGACACCGAGACTGACCTCCCGGTGCAAGGTGTCCCAGGAGATGCTCTTGAGGACATGGACACGGCGGTTGCCGGGCCCAAGGATGGACCTCACACACACAGCTGGCCAACTGACCGAGTAATGAGGGGGCGGTGATAGGTCATAGTGTGGTCTGTCTTCTGCAGAGGCTTCCAGGTGTCTCCCCAGAAGGGCTACGAGTGGCCATGAAGGTGGGTCTCTGCCCCTCGGAGCTCAGAATGCAGGGTCTGGGGCTGGGAATCTCTCCAGGTAAAGGGGGGACTGTCTCCCCATTTAAGAAGCTCTTTAAATCCACCTAAAGCCCCTCTCCCCTCCACTTAAAAAAGGGCCACTGAGCCCCCTGCTGTCTATGTCATGGACACCCAGGGGCCCTGGATCCCAGGAAAGGAACCACTGGTTTCGGCACAGGGGTCATTTCAGCCAGCCCAGCTGTCCTCCTTTTGCTTCCCCAACCCCACTAACGTCCCTGTCCCAATCCCAGGAACTTGGGACAATCTTCTTAAACAGCAAAAGGGCCTCTGCAGAGGTGATTAAGGATCTTACGACAAGTCTGTCCTCTATTATCTGGGGGACCCCCACCCTCCCCCTGCAGCATCTCTCCCAGAGGCATCAAACAGGTTAAAGAAGTAGCAAAAGTAGAATCCTCCGCCACATTCCTCAGCTTTAGCAACACATATCCAGAAACATACTTCTTCCTCTAGGAGCCCCAACCCCTCCCCTCCTCCTAGGACACAGCTTTCTTCACGCTCACACAGCAGGGTGCTGTCCCCAGAGGCCTCAGCGCTCCAAGCTCCTCTGGCCCCGCACCCAGCAAAGGCCTGACTCTGGGCTGTGCACTCCTGGCTCCCTTCCAGCCTCATGTACCTCTCCTCTCTGCCCCAAACCCTTATCCCCGGAAGGGAAAAAAAAATCCCTGTTCTTACTCAGACAGCATTCAACTTTTAAGGGTCACAGAAACCTGCAGAAGTACAGCTCTGTAGTGCGTGAGCTGGCGAATCGGGCAAGAGTGACAACAAAGAAGATGTCCAGAGGAGGGAAAAGGAGATCTGACAAGGGCCCACATGTCATGTCCTGAAGGAGTAAGAGCCGAGGTGGGCACGGAGCGCTTCCAGGAAGAGGTGGGGGTTTTGTTGGGCCTGACCGTGGTGATCCAGCAAAGTCATCTCAGAAGGGGGTGCAAAAGCGGTTTGCAACTCAGCAAGGCTCCTTTTGTTAGGCAGAAACTAGAATGTTCTAATGTTCCAAAAATCTGCCTTTTTTATAGTCAGACCCCACTGCGCCTGGACCTCCTGGGGTTATAGAGCAAGTCACTACGTGGGGCCAGATCAGACAGAGCATCCCTGAGCTTGATGTTTAAATCCTCCTTTCACAATTGAATAGCTGTGGACTCTGGGCAAAGGAATGGCATCCCCCACATCTCTTGCTTGCCGTGCCTCAGTTTCTCCCTCTGTAAAAAAAACGATGCTGTGTTCTGAGTATGATGGCTTCAGTGGTTAAACAGCCCAGTACCTGGTTCATCTACTGGAAGTGGTCGGCAAATGCTTGCTGAAAAACACGACTGATGTGGGATGTAGCTGGCGGGATTTAATAAAGATAATTACGTGATTCCTTCTTTAGGGCTTTTTCCTTTGGAAAAAAAAAAATAACACGGTATTTCCTATCAATGCCAGATGTCCAAGCATCCCTGGGAGAAAGGTTTTAATCCTCTTTGAAAAAAGCAACTAAGGCAGAGCTAAATGCATGTCCCCACTTCCTCGGTGAGTCACTGGCGACACAGGGGTGCTGCTGTGTCCTCCGCCTGGCCCCCGACTCCTCCGGCTATGCTGGTGGCCGTGCCCACAGGGAGACTTCACTGGGGCAGAGCAGTAATGACAAGTATCTGAGGGTCCGAAGTCCGGGGTTCCATTCCTGGCTCCACCACGGATTAGGCATGGCCTTTCCCTTTGGTAAGTCAGTGTGGTAGGCAGAATAATGGTTCCCCCAAATACTGACACTCTGACCCCTGAAACCTGTGAACGTCTTGTATCATACAGGGACTCTGTGGAGGTGATTAACTAAGGATCTGGGGCTGGGAAGACTAGCCTGCATTTTCTGGGTGGGCTCAATGTAATCATAAGAGTCTTCTGACCTTCACAAGGAAGGTCAGAGTCAGAGAGATCTGAACACGTTACACTGCTGGCCTTGAAGACGGAGGAAAGGGGCTCCCAGCAAGAAATGCAGGCAGCCTCTGGGAACTGGAAGGGCAAGGAAGGGCATTCTCCCCCAGAGCTTCCAGAAGGACACAACCCTGCAGACACCTTGATTTCAGACTTCTGACCTCCAGAACTGTAAGAGGACCTATCTGCTTTGTTTGCAGGCATCAAGCTCATGGTACTTTGTTATAACAACAGGAAACGAATGCAGTTAAATGGACCTTTCTGGGCCTGATAGGGCAGCCTAGAAGTGAAGCGTGTGCTTACTTTCAGTGGAAGAAAAAATGGGAGACTTTCTGGGGGTAGCAGGTCATTGGAAAGAAGGAAAAGTTAAAAAACTAAGTTTCAAAAAGGACAAAGTGTGCCCCAAAGGAAAAATGGGTGCTGTTTCTATGAGAAGAGGAAACAGGTGAGCAAAGTGTCTCCTCTCTACTCCAGCTGGACTGGATGGTCCCTGATCCCCCCCATTCTCTGAAGCTCACACCCTGGCCTGTGTTTTGAATGTACCCAGGATTTAACTTCTAGAGGTGACCTAAGTGAGACATGGAGAGGCCAATGCCATTGAAAGAAGTTTCCCAAGAGGACGGGGCATGCCATACCACACATGGTCACTGGGGAAGTGCCAGGGTTGGTGAGGAGGCAGAAGGAACGAAGCAGGGAGCAGGACCCTGGTCCTTTATGGTGGTTTCATGGGAAGAAATGGGTGGGTTTGGGTGAATTTCGGGTTGGACAGTTGGAATAATTTCCAGGTGCTCAAGGTATCAGGGTGATCTCCAGTTGTATGGGACGTGGCCCTGGGGTGGTTTAGGGTAGGGGAAATACCGGCTTCTTCTGTGTGAGTTCCATGAAGGAGGTGGTCCAGGGGTTGGCTTTGGATTATTTGGTTTACATGTCAAAGACAACCTGGCAGCTAAGTTGGTTGCTCTCTCTAAGAATTGAGCTCGGCCTGGAAAGGGCAGTCTCTCCCCAGCCAGCAAGACCTCCAGGAATTCAATACAGCAAAAAAAGACTGAAAATAAGAAACATGACTAATTAGCACAGGCATAGCCTTTAGGAAGGCTTCTGCCCTCCTGACCCCACATCCCTTCCTGCACGACATACCTTCCCATCGGCCTTAGCAAAGGCAGCTTCTTCGGCTGCACCTGCCCCTTCCACCTCCTCCTCCTCGGAAAATCCTAACCATCCCTCGGACCCTGGCACAAGGCACTGCCCAGACCAGCATGTCTCCTTAGCGCCCTGCCCAGGCGGCACCTGTCCTGCCCTCCCGGAGCCCACGGCACCCTGCCCCGGGGATCCCCCGACAACAGTCCTGGGACTTTGCTCCCCTCTGCCTTCCGGCACCCTGCTCGCCCTCAATGACGTGTGCCTTCTTCGGGCAAGCGGCTCACTAGCCACAGTTGAAACCCGCATCTGCAACCTGAGGATGAACACTCGGGTTCATACATCACGGGGCCTGGGCGAAGATCAACCCAGACACAGGAAAGGTCTTGTCTGTGCAGGGACAGAGCAGGCATTCCAGAATGGCAGCGGACATCTCTGAGCTCTCGCAAAGGTCCAAGACTCAGGCTAAGCTGACCAGCTCCTTCCACCTGATCTGTTGCCTTTGAGCACGCAAGAGAGCCAGGAGTATGACCTTGCCATTATGCACCTTCGGAGGGAGGAGGCTTCCCGTGGGCACTGAAACTGGGCCACCAGCTTGAGAGTGGCGACAAAGGGAGCCAAGCTCAAGGTCACCAACAGGGCAGCAGCCGCTGGGGGACAAAATGTTCAAGCCCTAGAGTCTTAGGAACACTCCTCTCCCCCACCATCGGGGGTGGACAGAGAGTAATTGAAAGATGATTAAGAAGTGGAAAAAAACACCAAAGAATGATCCAAAGTGACAGGAAAGGTTCCATTACACACAGGAGGCTGAAGAGCGAGCTGGCGCCA